AAGAACCCGTGAATTCCTTAGGTATACCTACATCAATCTATTTGAGGTGGATTTTGATGAATTTTAGGGCATTTTTGGAGATTTTTGAAAGTTTAAAACGAATTTTTGCGTCGGATCGGGTAGAGCGTGTTAATCCGACACTGCATAAAAAGTCGCTTGGATCTAGAGTCGAGACTCTTGAAAACAATGACAGGATAAAATACGCTGAATACGCTCTTAATTTAAGCGGATTTCCTTTTGATCCAAGCAAAAATCCGATTGAATCAAGAGTATCTTGTCTTGTCATTGTTTTCAAGAGTCTCGACTCTAGATCCAAGCAATTTTTTTTTCAGCGGATCCACTGAATCCGTAATTCCTCGTGAGCCCGATCCTAGTTTTTAGGGCTCACCGCAAGGATGGTCGGTGCCCATCGGGGTGAACGTTGAGATCCAAACTGAATCTCGCAGAACACCGGCGGGGGTTTAATGAATCTGGCGGGAAGCTCTATGATTGGTCCAAACTGATGGATGGGTCTGTCGCCCTACTGTTGACACCGATGTCAGCAATATCATTGGATTTAAGACGAATCGATCGGATAGACGAGAAAATTTGTTTTTACCCACCCTTCCCTTCGAGCAAATTTCAGCTCCTCCGAAAACCTCTTTCTCTGAAAACCTCCTCTTCCTTGAAACCCTGAACATGACTTGTGGATGAATCAACGTCCCTGTAAACTGCTTTTCAGCAAAGTCCTGTGGACACTCCGATGTGGACCAGCAAAGCCACGGTCCTACCGGGAGCGTGCTACACGCAAAGCCGCGGGAAGTGGACAGCGCGACCGGATACGATGATTTTTAAAACCATCCGTTGCCGCGGACATTGGCGGCGCAAACCGCCCCACCAATGAGAGCATGCAGGTTTAAAATAATGAATTGCGATCTATCTCGCGAATAAACGGTTCACTTCGCGACACCCATGCCTTTCGGAATGAACCGCGTCACGGAACCCCGCGAAATCTAGTTTCCGACGACGTCTAATTGGTAACGCGCTGCATGGGTTCGATGTTCGATGCCATGCGACTGTCTAGTGTTTATCATCGTCGGCGCGGCGCACAGTGGAGCACGTCTCTGGACGATGTTGGACATGAAATTTCTGACAAAAATTGTAAAATTTTACGCTTATCTCGTCACAATTTTAATTTCAAGGGGTGCTTTTTATAGACACTCTTACGAGAAAACCAATGAAACTACGTTTAAAAAATCCACATTTCTTATTCATGAAGATAAACGCTTTTGAAGTATTTAAATTATGTCCAACTTCTCCTGTTGACTCGATCCACTGTGCGCGCGGCGTGGTGCGACAACTTCCTTGGCACGGACTCAACACCCCGTTCCGGGCATTGGTCCATTTGACCGTGCTAAGGAGAAACGTCATATGAACGTCAAATGTTGCCAAACTTCGCTCAATACGCTGGGAAAAAAAAAATATTGCATCTAGAGTCCAGACTCTTGAAAACATTGACAAGAAAAAATACTCTCAACTCAATCAGATTTTTGCTTCAATCAAAAGGAAATCCGCTCAAATCAAGAGGCTGGGTTCTTGATTTAAGCAAAAATCCGATTGAATCAAGAGTATTTTTTCTTGTCGATGTTTTCAAGAGTCTGGACTTTAGATCCAATATGTTTTTTTCCCAGTGTAAAGTAATTATTCCTAAGAAATATGAAAATTTTCCTTCAAACCTTTCTGAAACCCTAGGTTAGATAGTGGCTGAAATTTTCCACAAAAATTCAACGAATGAATGTAAATGTAATTCGGAAAATGCGTATTTTGTCCCGAGAAATTTGGCAACGTCTTAAAATTCACACGACGTTTTTGTCTTCAGCATCGTGTTGCACGCCGCACTTTGCAATTGACCCATGACCAGACGACGACGCGACTGCCGAAATCGCAGCGCGGACACCGACCCACGCGAACGCACCAGACTGCATCGGGTGACGCGAATTTAATTGATGACGTAATCGCCCTCATCTCCGTCGACAGTACATAATTTAATTTTTCAGGCAAATTCGCATCAGGGGATCGCATCAACCCGGCCGGAAAATTTCCTTTGATGTCGCGGTCGAGTCAGTTATCCGCGTCATTTTTGGTCGTCGGGAAATCTGCGGTCACCTCTTACCCCCTCCCCGGTGCGTTAATTGCTATTATGACTGCATCTTATTATTTTCTACGGCCGGCGCAAAGTCGACGAACCGTGACCTCAGCTACTGTGCCGTGCTTAGGAAAAACGCCGTATGACCCCTCAGGCGTTGCCGAATTTCCTCCGATAAAATAGGAATTTTCAAGGAAACTGTTGGACATTTTCCTTCAAATCTTTAGGAAAATTTTGTACACAATTCAATAAAAAATATCTGAAAATTTTTAGGCAAAGTATGCATAACATACTTCAAAAATACATGTTTTATTCAGGGAAATTTGGTATCTCTCGAATGTTTATACGGCGTTTTTTTCAGCACGGCAGTACTGCATTTTGCGGTTCGCGTGGGCTCCGGGACTCGAGAGGGATCCAGGAACCGAATTCTGTCGAGCGGAAACTTCGCGGGAAACAACGAACACGGTAGTTATCAGGCATTTCAGTCTCTGAAAGTGGAGAGCTTAGTCCTTGACCGTGCTTTCCCTTTCTTGTTCGAGAAAAAAAATCAGAAGATGTAGATCTCGGAAAAAATCTAGCTTGTACGCTGAAAAAAAAAACTCCGGCCGTGGAATCCGTACTTAAGGGCTATACGACATAGACGTAAAGGGTTATGACGCTTACTTAGGGACCACAATGTCGGGTGCGGGATCAGTTAAAAACAATACATACACCATTAGTTCCCCTATGAGCATAAGTGCGATTAAGCCTGAGATTGTAGTTTCTAATGGACCACTAGACAAGGTACGAATTTAAGCATTCTGATACATNTTTTTTTTTTTTTTTTTTTTTTTTTCTGCCACCGTACGTTAAAAACTCAGCATTAAGCTGAAAATTCTCACAACAATATTTACAATGATACATGTTTTTTAACCAAAATTTTACGTAGAGCACGATTTGCGCAACGAAAACTAATGAAACAAACTCCAAACGAAGATATTAACGTTTTTATTTCACATTGGTTAAGAGGAATTTGAACTGCCCGTTCACAAGAACCTCAAAGCTCTACGTGAGTCAAATCGCGCACTACAACGGTTTTAACAAGCTTCTCAATCGAGTAATGTTCATTTCCCACCATGTGTTGTTCAAACTATACGCAATTTGCTACAGCTGAGCCAAAGCGTCAAGATTGAGGTTGCCACATTTTTATATCGTAGAGACTGTCATTATAAACGTTTAGCGCGCGATGTGAATCACGCAGGCATTGAGTTTTCATGAGCGGATGGTTTGAATTCACGCACCAAGAATCATTAAATATCTTCGGAAGGAGTTGATTTCGGTAATTTCCGTTGTGCGTATCGTGTTTCACGTGAAATTTTGGTTAAGGAACATGTATCAGAGTGCTGAAATTCGTACTTTGTCTAGTGGTCCATTGCAAACTTTTGTCCAATTGAAGTCTCAGTTCACTCCGGAAGCATGACTATCTTTTTTTGTCATGTGATACCTATTCATCAAGGAAAATCTTCCTCTTAGCTGAAACGTTGACGTGCATTTTACCAATTTGCTGACCAGGCTATCAGGAAGTATTATGAAAGCACAAATGTTTAGAGCAATTACGGTGGCAATTACGGTTTCATCTAATGTTTATATTTTTCATAATAATGTGTTCATATTTTAAAATACTGATTTTGTCTGAAATTCATCCGTGTGTATATATCAGGGGTGGAGATGAAATATTAAGTTTTATTTCAATTACACAGGAAAAAGCTGAAGCCCGAGAAGGCCCTTTAATTCTAATGTCTTCGCAACTTTCTCATTTCCTTTCACTCGTGGAAATAACAGCTTGTTCTGATAGCCGTGTTGTTAGACAATTCTAGTCCAAGTTTCGAAGAATCAAGAAAAAGAGAGGGACTTAATTGAAATTGAAGCTTTATCGGGACTGAAAATCGGAATAGGTATAGTCAGCAATCATCGACGCACAGAAATATGGAAGGAGGTTCGTTCAGAGATCGCCTTTTGCATAAAACGGTGCAATTACTGCAACAATGATTTTCACCCGTCACGCAATTTACGGAAGTCTTTTGTAACAACAGAAAACTTTTGATCTCCAGTCCGGTGTGACTAATTTAACTTCCTTGACCGACCCTTGACTCGATGTTTTGTTTCTCTCCCTCAAGTTTTTAATTAAAACTGAAAAAAAGTTCCCTTCTCTCATCATGAACTCCTGTCCTCTGCAAAGAACGCAATCCCCCCTCCTCATTTGGACTTGTACGTTCTGAAAAGAACCATGTTCAAAAGAGTTGAATTACAAGAAACCAGGGCTCTGCAACTAGATTCACATGCTTTTTAACTCTCTTAATGATCTAAGTCATTTTTTCTAGGTAAAAAACCAAGACAAACAAACGGAAAACAAGACTAAAAAACATTAAATAGTACTCCAGACGTTTTGGTTGTAATTGACTCAACCATTATTTGGACGGAGTTAAACAGAAAGGAACCAAGCCACATCGAGATCGAACCGAGAAAAAGAGGTTTAAAGTTTGGCTCGTGCATGAGACTCAATGTAAAAGATAAACTTCCAGTTCAATTTCTGCAAAATTTGCTCCAACAAAAACTTTGAATTTTGGCGATAGATAGTAGAACAGTGGTTGAGTTCAAAACCACTCATAACTCAATTTTTTCAAAAATGTGGGTTGATTCCTTTCTGCTTAACTCAGTCCATTTGTCAGTATAAAACGAGAAAAAGTGAAAATTGAAAACCTGGAAGAACTACTTTTTTGGTGTGTCACTGGACCAAAGAAGTCGTTTTTTCATAGTTCCTTGTAGCATAAATAAGTTCAGTAGGAATTATTTTAGAAAAATGCCAGGCGGAGAGAGTACCCATTATTCTCAAAGCTACAAATCGCAGAAACTGTTTATTTGAAGCCATACAAAATAGCAAGCCTTGGTTCAATGTTTTACCCGCTTTATTTGCTCTGAAAAATTTCGGTTTAGGGTGGGAAAGCCCATATTTTGATTGATATTTATGGCGATCCCGGAGGGTGTGCTGTGGATTGGTCTAAAAGCTGCTCCTCAGGTTCAGGCCGAAGTGGGAACAACTCCTCGTAAGGGACGTTAAGGAAGATCCTGTTGAGCCTTTCCGTCCAAAAGGCTTCCCATTGCTTCTCAGCTGGTTTGTTGGCCAACCCAACCATTATTCTCCATGTTCGATTAATGGTCGCCACCACCAACTGGCCTGAAATAAAAAAGAAGAAGTTTCAAGACACTTTAGGTTTCATAAACTGCACCACACTGTTGAAAATACCGAAGTGAAATCCAGAATGTATTTACCTCATGTATGAATGTATGTACAAACCTCTGACCCTCTTTCGAAGCAACCATATATACGTCTAGTTTCAAATAGGTCTCGCGGCCGCGGGCTTGAATCTTACCAGCGGTTACAAACTTTCGTAGAACTGACAAGTGGATCCGTAAAACAGATTCCACTTAACCTCGCATAGTTTTGCCTATCTCCGATGTGTAAGTACAACGAATAGTTTGCTAAACGGAACATAAGCCGTTAAACCAGCAGGTAACGGAAACTCGACGTAATAAAAGCAGGAAACCGCGTAAAATTGCATACATCGAACGATACATCAAACATGTGCGATGTATCGATATCGATTGGTCCAACATGTAAACATAGCCTCAAAAGTTCTTCTTCTTCTTCTTCTTCTTCTGATGGTTTATTGGCTTATATTCCAAGAGAGGAACCTACAGCCATCTATAGACAGGATAACAAAGCCTCAAAAGTCAATTGAGTAATCTGAGGGGTCAAGTTTTTTGCGATAGATTTTTTTTTATGTGAGTACAGAATGGTAATGAAAAGTGAAATTGTCAGGAATGTTCTCATTTTCAGCTTTCCCAACTGAAATCTCAAAATATTTGTTTGAGGTCATGGTCCATTGTTTTGAACCAAACGATACATCGAACCACCATATCGAAGACGATCCGTCGCATCTCGAGCGTTAGCACCATCGTTGGGCACCATCCAAGCGTTTGTTATATGTTGGGCAATAATATCCGGAGTTTATGTCCTCTATACGCTGCCACGTGGCACTTTGATCAAAGCGACATTAATAGTTATTTGTTAAGACACTCAATTTTATAGTAAGTTTATTTTTGTCGGACGGTGGAAAAACGGCGGCGCAGCTGTGAATTTTAAGCCACCAAATCTCACAAAACTGTCCTCAAGGATTAATAACGGGCGAGGGTTGAGTTTTACTCGATTTGCGGTTTAATACTCGGAGCTTTTTTTGATGAATCCCCGTCTTTAAATTACGTAATACTGGTGTATAAGNCCCCCCCCCCCACGAAAGAACGTAACTAAATATCCATGTTGCCAAATCTTTACTCGCTAACTGAATTTTTATCAGGAAGATCTTGGTCATTTCTAACTGAGAATTTCACTGATTTGTCCTCTGACCTCATGCAAGAATCAAAATAATTTCGGACGAAAATTGCTATGGTACATTCTCGTAAAAAATTCAAGTCAACTCTGCAAGTTCTGCAGCTCGAGTCAATTTCGCAACCTTGGAATGGTTACCTTCCTTTTTCCGGGAAACGAAGAGTTGACCCTCCCAATCTTGCTGTGCAACTGCTGCGCTTATTCCTACTATGTAAAAAATCACGAAACGTGTTGTGACAAACCCTCCCTATTTTGAAAATAATTTTTATCATGTTGAGTGTATCAATGTTAATTTCAAGTATGAAACATAATCATATGTTTGTATCAATTGAGAACTCAAGCGCGGGAAAATTGTTTTCAGTGTGTGCTCGATTTATTTATCAAAAACCATGTAACCTAAATGTAAAAATGCTACATAGCCAGGGCCGGATTAAGGGGGTGAAAAGGACAAGCCCTCGGCACGGCGGTAGACATTTAACACATATTAGCGCCTACAAGACTGCATGAATACTTCATCCATTGCGTCAAACACAATGCGGTCGGGAGCGGTTTGCGTGAAACGTATAGCGCCTACAAGACTGCAGGAATACTTCACGCATTGCGCCAAAGTGCGATCAGCCCGGCGCAACGGCAGAAGTTAAAATTATTAAACCACATTTATGTTTGTTCTTTCATAATTTTTTGGTTCATTTCCCATCATTGGAGGACCTTGTCCACACAGAGATATGTTTACGGAACTTAACTTTCGCAGCGCGCTACTTATGAACCACTACAATCTGGAACTCCACACGAAGAAAACGTAGAAACCCTTTCTATCTTCGGTGCGTTACTTATTTTAGCGGAGGCTCCTGAAAAACGGAGGAATTTAATAAGTGAATGGTATTTTGCGTAACTTCAGCCCGCGATATGTGCGGGGAATATTCTGTGGCGTCTGTAATGGACGATTTTTCCCCCGGTGCGAGGAATCAGACTTATGACACTTCTTCCACCGCTTTGGAGCGTCATTTATTTCAGTGACAACCTCTGGAAAACGGAAAAATGTAATAATTCAAAAGCATTTTGCATTAAGCCTCGTCTCTAAGGGGCAGTTTTAAAGAACTTAGTCGCAGCATCGAATTGAACGAAAGAAACTTCAGCGATTTTTCGTCGTCATCGTCTCCATGGGACGGGGCTCTCACGTTTTTGCGCCGGAACACAATCGTCAGGCAAACGAAGTATTTAAAATGTAGGTATAAGCAAGTCAAAATTAAATGACCGAACGTAAAATAAACAATAAAATCAACAATCGATTTAACAACAAATAATGGCACATAATTTGCTTCCCTTTTTCTTCTTCTTCTTCTTCTTCTTTTGCTCCTCCTTCTTTTCATTATTCGTCTTCTTCTTGCTCTTGCTCTTATGGTTGCTCATAGAACGGACATTAATACTGATTGGTAGTACCTCATTATTTTTTGTAAGTGTAATACGTCGCGGCGAAAAATCGCGGGCGAACGTCCCGTGGAGACAAGGCTTAACGTAACGTTAGCCGTTATAGTTGCTCCTCTGCCGCAAGGGCACATCTCAATTTCCACATGAGCCCCAAAAAGCATGGAGTTTTATGTACAACAAAGCTCACGTGGAAATTGAGATACGCCCTTACGTCAGGCGAGCGACGTTATGCGCAGGAAAAAATTCGCGGAGTCTGAAATGGACACATTTTCTCTCGATGCACAAGTAAGCAAACTAACAACTCCTTAAATCCTATTTCATGCATCGTTAAGGTTTTACTCACCGATCCGTTCATTGCCGATGGCGGCATTTTCGGCCGTAACTTTGAAAGTATCTATTTCCGGGAGGCCGCGGAGACTCAAGATTTCCATGTACGGGGCAGTTTTCTCTTGACTTCCCCGGATCGTCCATGTTCCACTTACGCCACCTGTTCAAATGTACAGTTTGTTTGATAGTATGATTATTTTGTAATTGTTTATTATCAGCCATACTTACTGTAACATATGATGCTGATTTCCTGTGCGCAAACAAGATCGCCGCAGGTTACCAGAGTATATCGTGGATCACGGAAAAAAAGAGGTAGGAGTCGTTGAATGATATGGGTATTTCCAGTTAATTGTGGTAGTGCCCCAATAAAGTATGTTACTACCCTCAAATGTTGCGGTACTGCCCAAATTAATTAGCAGTGCTCATATCATTCAAAAAATTGGGGGTAGTACTGTAATTTAGGACATAAGCCCTTATCTTTTTCCCATGATTTTTCTCAGAATAAAATTGAGCCACTCAATTTTCTCAATCTCCTGCAATGCTTACTCCAAAATTAATTTTGTTCGAAGTCACATCTCTTTTTTCAAAAGAATGTCGCTTTTTGTACCTCATCCTCGTTCATTCGCTGTAGGCTGCAGTATAGCTAATAACTCATTTTGTCTGGATCATTTCTTCGAGAGTTTGATGAATAACGCCTCATAAATTCATACGCGTCGAAAATCTACCAAAATATATACTTTTGCTCGAAATATTTTGATTTTCCGTATCTTACTCAGTTTTTTAAATAAGTTTTAAGCACTCTCGAGATCAATAATAATATTGTCCTTCTTATTTTACTCAGAGAAGACTTGTTTTAACCTACCGAGAGCCACTTCGAAGGGACCAGCGCCGACGAACTCGTATCTGCCGATTTTCCCGCTCATGTCGAATCGACCGACGCCGACAATACTCGGAGCCCACCAATCAACTTCGGTTATGAGTTTCTTAGGGTCGGCAACGTTGGCCCTGCGAAAAATATTTTGGAAATCATTTTTTAGCTTCAAATTTTGTGTATTCGTCTTAAGTTTGGTTTTTTAATCGATCGATGAAAAACAAAGAGATTCTATTTGTAGTTTTTCCACTCGAAATTCAATGGTATGCAAGGTAAACTAATTAAGGTCCCTTAAAGATCAAAGGCATTAAACTTTAGAGCACGTCACCGTCAAAAGTTGAGCTTTCCTTAGATTTCGCACTTTTTGTATGGTCTACGGCAAGGACAAGAACAATTATAATTTTGTTCTTACCTAAGACCGCACAAAAAGTGCTAAATATAAGGGATATTCAACTTTTAACTCTTCATCTCTCATTCAACTCTTTCTAATCATGAATATAAAGTTGTCTTGTGAGTTTCACCAGTGAAAAATGGTTATGTACATTAGAACTTTATTTTCCTTGAATTTAAGTTCTCGTTCCGGGCCTATAAGGACAAAAAATGAAAAATTATTTGAATCTACCATTTTATGTACTATTCAATGCCAAGAAACTTAAAGATATTCGCTAAATACCTCAACAATTGTTAAACGCTCTCGATTTTTATTGATTTAAAATAACATTACAAAACAAATTAACTCACCTTACGTCTAAAATTCTCAACTTTGACCATCCGGAAAAGTTAATTCCTCTTATTGACATACTGCCTCGTAAAACGCTCGTTTTAAAATCTCCGTTAAATTCTTTCCAGTGTAGAGGGTCGATGCTCTCGTTCATCATCCCCGGAATCCCTGTGAAATCGGGAGGGTTTCTCATTCATCATTTGCATTTTTTTGCATCGCATTTGCATTCATCATAAGGTGCGGAAAAAGGGCGTGTCCGGGATTAGTATGCAGCAAAGATTAGAATGAACAGGAAACAAGATTGCGTCTGTTTTTGAAGATAAAATTCACCTCTTTTTTCTCGTTTTTTCGCTCATTTTTATCATGTCATCCCTCTCTAGCCGTAGGGTCTACGAGATCATCACGATGCAGCTTTTTTTCATATTTATCTCTTAATTTTCCCTTTTTAAAACTGGAACGCCCCAAAAAAGGGGGGAGGGAATGTTACATCGTGATAACACTTAACACCCCATCTTAAAAGTCTTTTCAAGCCCTGGAACTCGTATCGGTAGAGTCGTTTCAGAACAGCTATCTATAAACGAAAAGTTTGAATGGTCGACTTTTTTTCATGTTTACCCCAAGCGTTGGGGAATTATGCTGTTTTTTTTAAGGGGGGGGGGCGAAATGGCACAAAAAGAAGTTTCACGCCTTATTTGAAAAAAAGAGAACCTGCCAGAATAAAAATAAATTGCGGATGCTTATTACTTCAGGTAGCTATCGCCGATAATTCAAGATTCTCCTGATTACAGTGCTGATTCCCGGTTAGCGCTTTTTTGAAGTTCCCCTCCCCGTGTTGCTTTGCACATATTCTCAGCGGAGTGAAACGTAAAGGAGCCTATTTCATTATTCCACACGGAGAAAAAAAAGTCGTGCGTGGGACCCGAAGTTTAGGTCATATGGATCTCTGAAGTCTTCAGATTGAGCATCTGAACACACGGAAAAAACGAGTTTAGGGTTGGGACCTACATGTTAGTGCTGGGCACTAACGAGGGTTAGATCAAATGGAGCCAGCAAGTCAGAGGAGTGCTGGGCACTAAACAGCTCGAGGCTGGGTCACTAAGGAAGAAGTAGTGTCAAGCCCTAAAGTGACTTTGGAGCGAGCGTAAAATATGAAACGTCTCCGCCTGGGATCGAACTCGGGTTGCGCCGGTGGAAGGCCAGCGCGTTACCACCAGGCTATCGTGACTCCGACGTCTCGAGGGTGAATTTACACCTGTTAAGCGCAACTACGTCTCGCGGCATCTGATTAGCACTACTCATGTTCAGTGCCCACCTGCACTGCCTTCCGGTGTTGAGCTGTACAGCGCTTAGACGCCAGCCCTCAACTACTCCCCACTAAACGGCCAGTAGTGCTCAACACTAGTCTTGTTTTTTCCGTGCACTTTAGGTCTGGCTGCCGAAGTTCGGATCATACATCTGAAACTTCAGTTCTTACATCTGAAGTACTTCAGATGTGAGAACCGAAGTACTTCGGATGTGAGAACCGAAGTACTTCGGATGTGAGAACCTAAGTACTTCAGATGTAAGAACTGAAGTTTCAGATTTGTGATCCAAACCTCGACAGCTAGACCCAAAGGGTTCAGATGCTCAATCTGAAAACCTCAGAGATCCATATGACCTGAACTTCGGGTCCCACGCACGAGTTTTTTTTCTCCGTGCAAGGGTGGTTAGGAACCATCGATAGAATATTGCCATGATTACCTGCTCTAAAGCGTGGAAGGTTCTGCTGCAAATTGAATTTCAGGCACTCGTTCAATTCAGCGCTGGGCATACTCCTGAAACAGCTCCGTTCAAATCTAGCTGCAAAACGTAAAAAAACATATCTCCGTAATTCTCTTCTTTAGAAATGGGGAGGATAAAGTGCAAAAAACCCAGAACTCATCGATCCATACTAATTGGACGTATTTATGCCGAAACGAACTATGTTGCAAGCAAATCTCACGCACTTAGTTCCTTTTAGCATAAATACGTCCAATTGATCCAACCATCCAACAAGAAGCCACAACAGACTCGAATTGTTAATGATATAGAATTATCTACAGGGTTATTCAAAAATCACGCACCACTGGCCATGAAGGGGGTGGCCGTTTGAAATTTTTGAGTTGCCCTCCGCCCCCCTCCCCCCGAGGGGATAAAAAATTGGAAAGTATCTAAACACGTTTCCCCCTCGATAGGAGGAAAAACGTCTTAAACCGCAAATTGATATCATCATTAGAACTAAAAGTTTTGGCCAGTGGTGCGTGACTTTTGAATAACCCTGTGTATCTCCGAGCGCTTTGATTGGGCCGTTGATTAAAAGCGTAAAAGCAAGGTTAGATTTCAAAAGCCCAATACAATCCAACATTCGTATCGTTCACCGTAATTATTTTTTAAAATTGAAATAACGTGAAATAGCACCCAGTAAGACCTTTTTTTAAAATGGGTTTACCGTGGAATCGTAGATAATAAAGAGCAAAAAATGCAAACCATTTCATTACTAAAACTACGTACTTTTTATACGTAGGCCGGCCGTTCAGCTGACAATGAAACCTCGCATCACACTAGCTTGAGCTTTTCATTTTGAATAAGCAAGTATGACAGGCAACTTTTCTGATCCATCTCTATAATTATAAGTCTAATCATCTGGCTGCTGACGAACAAATAATGAAACATATATCTCACAAAAGCCCACTCATTATCGCATTTCAATGGATACCGCACAAAGATTGGTAAGCTGTCTCTGTGTCTCATTAAAAAATTATTCTCAGTGGCTGTTGTAGCTGGGAGATATGGCATCTCTCCGTCTTCACACATCCTCACCCGTCATCGATAAATGTAGCTGTTCGGTATGAGTTTCGTCCGGGACCCAAATTATAAGTTTCCCAGTCTTGAATGAAATCGTTTTTTAAACCATAAGCCCGCCAATTGAACTCCACACTATCTAACTTTCACTGCTCCTACTAGCGTCGGTATTGGGCTGAGAAATTTAAAATTCTTGAAACTATTTGGGATTTTGCGGTTCAAACTGCTTTTTGAATGAAAATGTGTGTCAAAAAGGCACATTTTTCAAAGAAGCCGACGGAGGCGTTTTAACGCATGTTTTCAGTGGAATAAGTGCACTTCCAAAAATTATCGAGTATAAAGAAAAACATACACAGCATTATGGTACTCACGATATTTAGCCTCCTTGGCATCCTCGTTACTTCGGACCAATGGGATCAAACACAGAAGAGAAACGCTCAATATGTTCTTCATACTGATTGTTTTAATCAAATATACTCAGAAATAATATCAAAGGATTTTAAGTTTTCCACTGTTATTACTTAACAATAATTCTAGTTTTTCGTCTGGCGTATTCAAAACTTGCCGAATTCGTCTTAGGCACGCGTGGGATTAATTCCAAGAAGTCAATTCGGCGCGAAAGTTTTTCAAAAACGGACAGTCATATTTAGTCCGCTGACATACCTACACTGAACTGGTCGCGTTAATTCTTTCACATTATTTATACACAATCCGCTGTCAAAATATTTGCCAAAATCGAGCTGTGGATGCGGGCTCCTTGATTGGCGACTCTCAGGATATGATTTGGCGGAGAAGTCTAATCGGCATTCGTCGCCGAATCTCACATGTAACCTTGATATTTCGGAAAATTTGCGACATTGTTTCGCCCGATTTGGCATTGTGTAATTTATTTTTTCGATGTGGTGATAGTGCAGCATCGTTGGTTATAGGGGTGATACAAGTGATCACGTGGAAATGGGACACCGATATCAAGCTTGTTTATAGGCTCGCTCGGCAAAAAAAAGTGTAAGCGTTCGATTCAGATCTTCTCCATAAGGGCAGTAGATTAGCGGATTCCCCCCTTTCTCCCAGACCCTTCTTTTTGAAAGTTGATTCAGTGTCGTTTACTGATGTCATAACGAAAAGGAAAGTATCGGATTATGAAACCGTCTGCAATCCGCAACAGTAAACGAAGATTTTACTTTTTTTTAATCGTAGGTTATTTATTGGCACAACATTGGAATTTGTAATGCCCCCCCCCTCAAAAAATTTAAGAGCGGTAAAATATACATTAAAATCTGAAGCAAGTTTTTCTAAAATTTTGCATAACAAAAATGTAGAGAACTGGGTAATTCAGGGGAAGGAATTAAATATTCTCATGGCTGATGTCTTTGCTTAGATGGGCGTTTAAAAAATTTGATGTCATGTACAAAACCTCATGCAAAATTTTAGCCTAAGTATCTGTTTCTTAATGTCCTTTCCCCTAACTCGTATGCATGTATATGAGCGCTCATATATTTCTAAATTCTCAAATTTCGCAAAACATAACGGCTCACGACGACCCATTAAGAGTAAACAATTAGACTAGTCCTGCTTACTGCTATTAGCCGAGTCACATAGCGCAGCACATCTCCAATGGAGAATTTGCAAGGGTCTGAAATTTGATGAATTTCCTGTTTAAGTGGAATCCTCTGAGTGAACTGAACACGAAGATACCCTTGATTCATAAATTGAGCGATTATTAGAGGAGATATGACAAAATAACCGATTCTGCTAAAATACATGTGTTTAAATGGGAAATGCCGCCAGATGACGTCACAAGGCGGCGCATTTTCTCACTTTTAAATCAATTTTTCTCCAATTTCCCATGTCAGAAAAAAATTATGAAAAATATTGCGAACTCAGCTCATTAGGCACTTTCAGATGAAGCAATAAAAAAATTGCGTGCAAATTCTCCATTTGTTCAAAATTAAATTATGTCAGTTTATCTCTTTATGCTCGTTGTTTTTCGCAGTCGTAGAACTTCCTGGAGTAAGTTAATTAAAACGTGTACGAAAACTATATCTCATTAGCGTAACTGCACACTGATGCGGATTTGCATAATCCTTTTGCCTCTCGTCGTGTCGGATCTTATATTGCCGAGTTGCTTATCATCTCCCAGCTGGGATATTTTAATTAAAATAATTTAATTAATAACTTTGTGAAGAATTCTTCGAAGTTCATTTCGTGCAATTAGTCAACCCGTACTCATGGAGGGAAATTTTCGGCTGAACCGCAGAAGCTGTGTTATACCACCAAAATATGCCTGCGAAATTTCAAAGCTGGCAATGGTAGGTACTCGTCGCACGGTGGTAAGGACACTGGAGCAGAGTCTATAGCCGATAGAGTACAGCCTTATTTTAGTCTCGGCCATTGCGTATTCATTAAATGCTAAATTTCTGCTGAATGCTAGCTTCTAATAGCGAGGCATGATTGGTCGATTTTCGATTTTCGATTTTCCTTCATTTTAAGCTATGCTAAAGAATACATTATTAAGGTGTTCGTTGCAAAAACCCTACTTACCGAACCTTTTCCATAGGTTTAAGTGACAGATCAATCGATTTATCGCAAAGCACGCCATGCCACGCCACGGTTTTTAAGGTTATGCCATTAATTTCGCGAAGAAATTGAAAAGCTTGCCAGAAAAAGAGCCCGCGTAGTGAAAAATCTTGTTTGGAAAAAACGCATTCGAAATTTCCATAATTACTTTCTGGACACGGATGGTGGCGTACATCGGAGCTTGCATTCCAATTTGCGGTTAAGTCACAGTCAAGCAAGTCACAGCTAGAAAGTAAAAATGAAAAATTCGAATGTATTAGAGCTCTCCCGATTATTTTTTCTTGGTTAAGTTGGGATACGTTCAAACCAGGAAATGTCTGGACGCTCCATATTCGAGATGCAACTGTATGATACTCGATCGGCACGGTCTATTTACGGCACATTTCTCGGGCATGCACTCATGCATGTAACAACATTATGAGAACCTAAGCCTCGTTTATGCATACAGAGTGCTTGGCGTCGCGGCGTCGACTCGAAGTGGCGCTAATCACGTTACATCTCTTGGAAGTGGGTATCGTCACTGGATTAATACGCGTTGATGATGTGCCGCGGTCGAGCTTGATCATAGACGAACAAATTCAATTAGTATAGATAAAGCCATTTGAACGTATTTCTGTCAAATGGAACTATGTACATTGAGACATGAGCCCTGAGACCCATAAGAATATATGCATAACAGGGCTCACGTCATAATGCACATAGTTCCGTTTGATAGAAATACGTCCATTTCACGCTCGGATGTGATGGATTAGCCGTGAAACCGACCAGGTTTCTCCCTCGAGACGATTTTGAGCGGGAAACCTTCCAACTTTCTGCGGTGATTCTGCGGACGGGTGGTCTTGCGCACGCGACTCAGGGACAGAGTCTCAATCCTGATTATTTGATTGACATTCAAGTTCACGGGGAAAAGCTCGCGTTACACTCACGGGAAAAAATGTTTTGCGTTATAAAGTGACGAGGGTGACAGGTCAGTGAGACTGATTTTTGCAATTAATACTAAACAACATCTGGCTCTATTTAGAGACATCTTGTGCGCTATTTTGACATGCACATTAGCACCTATGCACCTATACCTATACCCTGTGCACATAAGTATTTTTACAGAAAAGTTCCTAATTGCAGTTCCTGAAATTGTGCTTAAATGACACCTTGAAAAACCGTTTGGATTCCGATAGCTAAATTGTGGGATACTATGTAGGTCATCGATGTCACTGCTAAACCTCACTAAGTCTACCGTTTACCGACGTCACTATTGGCGCATTTACACGAAAAAAACAACCTAGCGCTGAGCCCCACAGCTTGTAGGGCTGGACCCTAAAGCTGTGGGAGTGTAGGGCTCAGCATTATTGGAAATTGAGCAAGCAACTATTCAAACTCCGGAGTAGGTATATATGGTATCACTTGAAATTGAAGGGAAATCTTAGCTTTTCGGCCATCTCAAGTGACACGGTTTTTTTTAGCCTCCCGGACAAAAGGACCCTTTTTGGAAAATCGCGTTTTAAGGAATATGCATTTGATGTTCTCATTACTGGCCACTGACGATGACTTGGTGAAACTTCATAAACGTATTTTTCTCAAAACGCGAATTTTCGATTTGACCCGTTTTCCGGAAAGCTCCTCATCATGCGTAGTTCCTTTCAGCTTAAAAACGTCTGAAAAAACGATCTGAAAAGAACGAAAGATCTGTAAAGTCTCCGTATTTTCGTGTACCCCTCTTTTATTTTCCCTCACTTTCAGTTCAACGGACCCACGAGAATTGGCAAGACGCGGCGCGGCGCGTCGCCCCGGCGTCACTCCCCGCTCGAAAACCCACCCCCGCGCGAAAAACCCGCGGTTCGCCTCCCCTAAGCCAGCGCGGGGCGGGAGCGGGGGTCTAGACATGCGAAGGATATTTTATCGCGAGCGGAGGGGGGCGACGTGCGAATCCGCCGGCCTCCTCCCCCTGTGCCCCCCTCGCGACAGCTCACCCCGGCGAGTGTTTCGCTTTACCTTGACCTCCTTTCTCCTCGCCACTTCCGTCCATGCCGACTCCCCCGGGCCTCCCCCTTTCACCACGCCTCGCTTACTACNCCCCCCCCCCCCCCCGGCCCCCTGTCCCCCACCGGGTCCCCCATTCTTCGAACCGCGCACCACGTGTTCCCCCGCGCTCGCTTTGTTGTGGGCTCACGCTCCGTTCCCCAAATCCCACGGCTTCGCCGCGCATTGCTCCGATGTTGCCGTCCTACGCTGGAAAAAAAGTCGCTTGGATTTAGAGTTCAGATCCTTAGAAACGTTGACAAGGAAAAATACTCTTGATTCAATCCGAATTTTCCTTGAATCGAAAAGCCGAGCCTCCTGATTTAGGCAGATTTCTTTTTCTTTCAAGCAAAAAGTCTTAGTCTTACTGAGTCAAAAGTATTTTTTCTTGTCAATGTTTTTAAGAGTCTGGGCTCTATACGGAGAAAAAAAACTTTGTGCGTGGGACCCGAAGTTTAGGTCATATGGATCTCTGAAGTTTTCGGATTGAGCATCTGAACACTTTAGGTCCAGCTGCTGAGGTTTGTATCACACATTTGAAACTTCAGTTCTTACATCTGAAGTACTTCAGATGTGAAAACCGAAGTTTTTCAGATGTGAGAACCGAAGTACTTCAGATGTAAGATCTGAAGTTTCAGATGTGTGATCCAAACCTCAGCAACTGGACCTAAAGAGCTCAGATGCTCAATCCGAAAACTTCAGAGATCCATATGACCTAAACTTCGGGTTCCACGCACAAAGTTTTTTTCTCCGTGTAGGTCCAAGCGCCTTTTTTTCCAGTGTACGTCACAAGGAGCTTGGACAATGCCAAATTTCTCTAATGATGTAAAATCCCCCGGAACCTTTCTACAGACATACATTAAAACAGATTTTACAGCGGTCTATGGCGCTCTGCAACACCTAGCCGCCAAAGTCCCCTATCCTCTCAGCTCTTCAGAGAGTTGGCACTTACCCATCTCCTTCTAAAACTCCCTGCTTCCACCCTTTCACTGGGCGTCCCCTTCGTCTCCTCCCAGGAGGAACCCAATGAAGCGTCTGCTTCGGCATGTTTCTTCTTTAATTTTTTCAAAGGGTGGAGTTTTTACACGAGAGAGTTTTAC